AAAAAAAAAAAAACCAAGGGGAATAAACTCACAAGCAACATCACCAGTAGTCTGAAACCATTTCAGACTTTAAGAACGATAATGCCAACTTGGCCTAGAGAAGCAGATGTGCAGCAGTGGCTGGTGTGCACGAGCTACTGCAGGGTGAGCTGGTGCTCTGCGTCAGAGCCCAGAGCCCAGCCGAGTGGACCCTGGAACGCCACTCAGCACTGCACTAAGGAAGAGTCCCAAGGAAATGGTCCTCACGACCTGCCCTCATGCAGGTGCATTTACGCTCTAGACATGCAGGAGGGGGGAGGTGTCTTGAGGATGATCACTTGGACACTTGTTTGCGAAGAACTGCCACTGAAAAGCAAGGCACAGAATGATGGGCTTTTTAACAAGGGTTCAGCGACTCCACACAGGTCTGAAGGAGGAGCAGAGAGCCCTTAGAAAGGAGGACAGGGGGCAGGGGAGGGCCTGGGCCTCAGGGCTGTGCAACATTTTCTTGTTTGCAGGACATATAGGCTCCAACCTAAAGAACAGTGTCTCACTGCACACTCTGCCGGCCCCCTGGGCCATGAGTGTAGAGCAAGGAGCAAGGGCCCCTTTGCCTGGGGCGATGCGAACGGTGTCTTCTGTCTGAGCACCTGTCCACCCACCTCTGGGTCTTTTCACATTTTACTGATAGGTGTCATATGAACAATTAGCCAATGTGTCCCTGTGCAGCTGACACTTAACGAAAGCACGCAGACTGAACCAAATGCACAGATGACGAGGCAGGGGCACCTGCCTTGGATGGTGGGGGGCTAACAGGGAGAACCGTGAATAACAAAGCACCTTTCATAACAGACAAACTAATGTTCTCCTAGCTCTTAAGGCAGACTACATAACTAATAGAACACTCTGAGTGCTTCAAAATTTCATTTCTTAGGATAAAAATTAATGAGTTGAACATTATTATAGGTCACTGTAACAAGGGTGGTTTGGACACAGCCCTTGGGAGAAAATGAGTTCTTTGTTCTTGTTTGAGAGTGATGGGGCAGTTGCCGTCTTGCAGTGCATGTCTCAATCCTGTCCCTCTGCAGTGCCTGAAGCAATCGATTCACCAATGTCCTGGTTGGGGTGCGGGACACCTACACACACTGCCAGCCCCACTTAGTCATACATGTTGAACAGGGCAGTGACCCTGCGCCTGGGAGGATGGACAGTGTTCTCTGTCCCGAGCACCTGTCCAACCAACTTCAGGTCTTTGAACATTTCACTGACACGTATGGTATGAGCTATTAGGGGACTACTGGAAAAAGTGGTTTTCCTAGACTAGAAGTTTCTTTTGACCAAAGCCAAAAGGATACCTGCAAGTTCTGCTCGAGGGAAAAGTGTGTGACTACCAAGGAGAGCACGACTCCACTGTGACATGGTTGGAGGAACCAAGTAAGCAGTCGCATGCCTGCACAGAGTTTCCTTTACAGCTATCTTGCTTTTCTGTGTTTTTAACCTAATATTTTTAGAAATAAAGTAGCCTACTGAGAACTGCTTCCTCCTGCTGGCTTATCAGATGAGAAATGGGGATAGTTGTGATATCTGGCATCCCAGTCAGAGCCCCTCAGGGTGGTCCCAGGAGGGGCGGAGCCTCGCCAGGACACTCTCACAGTGGCCCCTCTAAGGAGACCTGAACACATGAGCAGAGTCCAAGCCCGCCTCAGCCTGGGACCAGGAGAGTCTGATGTAAAACACAGCAATCGCACCTTGCCTCATTCTGTGACTCCTCGCTTACGTTCTATTCATTGCCAGCAGCTTAATTTATGTATCACACGATTTGCAAACACTAACACATAACTAAAACCAGAGCCACACAAACCCACCGTGGAGGGGCTCATACAGTGCTAACCATGATGTATCTCAATGCCCACGGTAAATGAGCATCTGTGGACATGACCCACACACAGGACCGGTGTCCCAGGACAGGAAGGCATTTCTAGACTGCATTCTGAGGCCACTGACAGACCACTCGGCTGTGACCTGAGTCTGGCAGAGAGGGACTGAGAATTTTAATAGTCTAAGTAGGAACTTAAATTAGAAAGTTAAAAATACAGGCAACAAAATAGAGGACAGAGTAACATGAATAAGAGAGAAATAAGCACTGCGCGACCGCCAGGCAGCAGGGACACTTGTCCCTGCCAGTGGTTCTGGGCTCTGCAAGCGCTTCCCACTCAGAGGCCGGACACTGGATGCAAAGACGCGAAGCACTGCACCTAAGCACTCAGCGGCACTCAGACACAGTGAAGATCCGGGCCTGCTGAAGGGAGGGTTCCTTCCCAAGTATTTAGGAATAACTGTCCCTAGTAAGTTACAGCCTTCTGCAAGTCAAAAGGAGCTCAGAAAGAACCTCCCGTTCAGCACCCTCCCACGTACGGCAGATGGGGTTTCTGGTCAATCTGTCGGGAAGTCACGGAGGGCCTCCCCACAGCCCACCCAGCCTGCAGCACCCAAACCAGTGTCGGCCCCACCCACCACTGAGAGGCATGGAACAGCTCTCCTGAGCCCCACTGGGCCAAGCCCGGGTACTTGCAGAGTAAGAGAATACAGCGAGTCCAGGGCATGAAGGCACTGGCCCTGTGGCCCCGGAAGGGCACCCCTAACCCAAGCGTGAGTGAGATGTGCCCCACAGCCCGTCCTGGTACTCCAGCCGCCCCTGGATAGACCCAGGTGTCTCTGATGTCGCCCCTCCCATGACCCCATCCTCCTGACCCTGCCCTAGTCTCCCAGTACATCCCAGATGGTTGCACCCTCAGGGTCTGATGAAGGTGGGGCTGAGGCATGGGTGCAGAGCCTGGCTATCTGTCTGTCCTGGAGTGATCCTACAGTCTCCCAGGTACCTAGTTCCTCAATGTAAGTACCTGCTGCCTGCCAGGACAGTCACATGTGTTCTGAGTGGGGCTGGCTTCTCCTGCAATATGCTGGGGAGAGGATGGGAAGGGCTGTAGGCGCCCTGATCTCCAGGGTCAGAGACCACGGGGAGAAGCAGGCCCTTGCAGGGTGACCCTGGGCCCACTGTCCTCACCGAGTCCTCACCAATACTAAGCGCCAGGTGCAGGCTGAGTGCAGCTGGCATCATTCTATGCCACTGACCCTCAGCACACTGACCTCGGCTGGGACACTGGGCATGGTGGATGAGATGCCGTTCTCAGTGCTGACGTTGCCGGAGCTGCTGTTGGGTGAGCTGGGCCCAGAGCCTGGGGCGCTGCTGCACGCAGAGTCTGCAGGTGGGAGACAGTGATTGGGAGCTGGTTATGCATGGACAAACGTACCCACGGCGATCCCAACCGTAGAGGATAGGGCCACAGTTCCAAGTGGCGGTGGGAGGCCAATTCCTGCTTTTCTGTCTGTGCTGACTGACCTTGCAGTGAGTGTCACAAGGCTTGCCCCTCTGGATGTCCCTCTCTCAGGCTTTCAGGATGTGTGCGCTATCAATTTCATAGCTGTTGTGAGTCCCAAGGTGATGTGAAACATGAGAAAACTAAGCCCTTAAACACTCATTAATATTCAAACAAGGAAAGACTAGGACTCACAAAGGCCAAAAGACTAAGTGAAAGGTCAAACTGAACATACTCACTAAGATGCTAGTTCAAAATAAAGCAACCTATCATTACCACTCAGGGTGAAGGAAGTCCTTGATCTCCCACACAGTACCAAGCACCCAGGAGCACTGCCAGAGGTCTCTGTGGCTCACCGGTGTTCCTGGAAACCCCTAGTGTGACCTGCGAGCCTCTGCTCATCTGCAGGCTGCACTGGGGCATGGCTGGAAAGGGAACTGGCCCAGCCCAGCCTGTACCCCCAAGGGGCCCTGCATAGCTCCTCAGCACTGCACGCAGCTCTATGCTCACAGTGGCCTGCTCAGTGGCATCTGCACAGCAGTGCCAGTCGTGTCCTGTCTAGAGAACGTTTACATGCCTTGGTGCCTGCCACTCCACCACGTCCTCAATAGCGAGAGCCTGGCCCAAGCCTGAGCGCACAGCAGGACCACTTCAGGGGACCCGGGGATGGGTGCCCTCAGCAGGAGCCGCAGAAGGCCACACCTGCAGAGCTCAGCCTGAACACTAGCTCCAAATGGAGGGCAGACACAGGGAGGGCAAGCGGGACAGACCCTGCACACTGAGCTATAGGAGCTGTGCTTTCCTGAGCCGAGGAACCTGGTGGTAATGTCACTTGCCCCGTTAATTTGGGCACAACATGCAGGTCCCTCCTCCACAGACATGCTGTCTATCCTGAACACCCTGGGCTGACTCAGTGACCCGAGGTGTCCACACTGTCTTCCTACCCTGGAGACCCCCTCCACAGCTTCTGGGGCAAACCCACCTAGGCCACTGTCCGTAAGCCTGGGTCTGTTCCCATCCAGTTTGCACTCTGTCCAGATGCTGTGGAACCCTGAGCTCTCTCTGCTCTCTGCTCTAAGTCCCTGCTGGGAGCTGCTCTCGGGGTCCTCTGACCCTGCCCTTAGTGTCCAGATGGCAATGCCACTAAGGAAGTACCAAAAAACGTTGGACACCATACCAAGTGGACAGAGCCACAAAGCCGTGAATGCCACGGTTTCTACGAAAGCTGTGGGGTGAGCACACTCAGAAAGCCTGGAAGGCAATGGGACCTGGTGATGTCCAGGCAGCACAGATACACTGACTCCCTTCCTCTCTGGGCTCCTCAGCTGGCATTGGTTAAGTGAGCCCCCGGGAAGAAGCAGAGTGCCACTCCACCTTGTCCCAGCTGTTCTCATGGCCCTCCTGACATGCACGGTGGACATGGAGCTCTCTGGCTCAGGACCTTCCTCACTCCCAGGAGTGGTGCCCTTGAGGTGCTGGGGACCACAGTTCCAGGGCCCCTGCCCCTCCTGTCACCTGGGAATGCGGCACTGCCCAGAGTGCTGCAGCTGACCACATGGCTGTGCTGACCAGGGGGCACATAGCTCTCTGTCTCAACCTCACTCATCTGTCAGGCCACAGCTAATGCCACCTGCTGAAGCTCTGCAGGCTGAGAGCAGCGTCTGCTGCCCGCCCCCCCGGATCTGGGAGGGCCTCTCCACCTTGCGCAGCTCCGCCTTGACCAGCTTGTGCCACGCAGCATTCCTGGCTGTCCCCTGTGTGATCCCCCATGCTTACTCTTTCTGTGCCCATTCTGCTCTAGATGGCAGACAGCATTCAGCAGGGCCTGGACGACTGCACAGACTCCAGCCTGAGGAGATGCTGTCTCCACCAGTCTGGCCAGGAGAACCAGGGCGCACCTTGCTGGGGTGCTGATACAGCAAGGCGCACAGCACAGGGACAGGGCTCCCGTGCGCCCTCATTCACAACGAGCCCTCCTCGTCAGTGCCTTTGGGGCACCTCACACCATTACGCTTTAGGCTCTCTGGACAGAGGCGGCTCTGTACTAGAATGCCCAGAGGAAGAAAGCTATTTGAAATACACAACGATGTGGGGGGCTCTTTCACACAAAACCACAAAGCCTCAGAGGCAGGCCCAGGAGGAGGGGCTCATGCTGGAGAACCCAGGCACAGCCCAGCTGGCTGTCTGGGCCAGAGTCAGAGGTCCTCAGGTTCCTCCTGGGCTGCAGCATGTTCACTGGTGCAAGCTGTGGCACTCACAGACCTATACTTGTGGGCAGCCTTTGAGCTGCGGATACTTTGGGATCAGCAGAAGGGTGCTGTTAGGGTGGGGCTCCTGGGGGCCATTCCTGTGAGGGGTGGTGCCCTCAGGAGTAGCAGGGTAAAATACTCTGCTTGGTGGGGAACTGTGCAGTCAGGCACCCTCGGGAGGGGCTGTGCTCCCCGAACAGACCTGCACTGGTGACCTACTGGTGTCTACCGCTAGGGGGGAGCAGCGGCAGCACATTCACCACAGCGCAGCTGGCCGGCTGGCCACAGGGCACCGCTCAGTAGGCACTCGGAGGAGGCTGTACTCACCCTTGCGGGGTGGGGCAGTTAAGCACGCAGCTTCAGGCCCCGGTGAGCACCTCCCAGGATGTCAGGCCAGGCCAGGCCATGGCCTGCAAGGCTGTGACAGCGGGTTGTCACAGGAACCCTGCCTGGTTCCCTGAGTTCTCAGGGCCAGGGCCTGGCCGGATGTGCAGAGCCTCACTGAACAGGCCTACAGAGGGTTGGCCAACTGGAATATAGATATTTAGAGGCTGCTGTACCCGACAGCCTGACATACCTGTGACATCCAGGGGGCGCTTCTTTAGAGCAGTAACCACGGGTCCATCCTTCCTGCGCAACAGGGGGCTGCTCCGTCTCTCTGCCACTTTCTGCTTGAGCCGGGACCGCAATTTCAGGTTGGGCTCAGAAGCTGCACAAATGGAGACAGGTTTACGGCCCTGCGGGGAGCCAGGCTCTTGGGTCAGCACAGGCACCCGTGAGTATTCAGGGGGCAGAAGCAGCCCTGCAGGCAGCACCTGGCCCTTGGCCATCTGCCCCAGAGTGCACACTGCACCTGTCTGAGGCTAAGCCGAGCATCTGGACACTGTGGTCACACGTGGAAGCATCACAGTCAATGCCACCACTGTGCCTCACCTGCAGATGGGAGCAAGGCTACGGCCACCTCCTACACACAGCGGGAGCCAGGGCAATGTTGCAGGCACTCAGCAGTGAATCCCCTAAGCAATGTGCCCTGACGGAGTCGCCTCCATCTTTGAAGCAGTGCTGCTCTGGTCCCTGAGGAAAACTGACATGTAGACCCTGCAGCCCATTGACTGTGACCATAGTCCGGCTTCTGAAGCATGTGCTTTCTCCTCCCACAGACACCTGCATCTCCGCATCCACAACACACTGCCCACTGCAGCTGCTATTGGCCTCGAGAAAACCTGCACCTAAAGCCCTGGAGGTCCCATACACCTGGGGCTGCATGCATCTGAGCTACAGCAGCAGCAGCAGTATGGCCGCCTGCAGAAGGGCTGAGACTCCCGGGGGGCTGCTCAGTCCAGGACACGTAAGCCTACTGCCCTGAGCCCCGTGGCCGTGCCCACATGTGCATCTGTGACGTGGCCTCTGCCTGTTTCCACTTAGCATCTCACACTCTCGGGTCCTTCTGGAAGGAAGTTCCCCACTTCCCGACAGAACTTCTCTGGAATCAGCACTGTGGTTTTAAAACCTAGGCCAGGAGCCCCTCCGCCTTGGGGAGCCCATCCACCTTGGGAGCACAGCCCAGGCGGGGCACACAGGCAGACCTGAACCTCCTGCACTCCACAGGAGGTGTAAGGCCTCTGTGGCCTCCGGGGGCCCCAGGATGCGGTGGGTGCAGCGAGTTTCTGAAATTCACTTCCAGAGAAAGCAGGGCCGAGTTCTGGGTGGCACCCTCCTGGAGACCCCAGAGCGTGAGTGGCAGCTGTGTACCAGCAAGTGCCAAGTCACCCACAGGATCTGTGCGATAGCAGAGAAGGGGCTCAGTGACACAACTGCCTTCCTGGCTGTTTCTGTTCTCAGTTCATGTTCCAAGTTAAGCACAGCTTCACAGGTTCTACTCCTAAATGTTTCCTACTTAAAAGTGAAAACAAAATAGGCTGAACTCCCACCTGGTCACTGGGCTAGGAAACAATGCCTCTCTCTCACCACCAACAACTCCACAAAGCCCCACAGGGCTTCTTTAGCCCTCTGGTAGCTCAGGGACAAAGGCTGTGGACTGTGGGGCAGTGGCCTAAGGTCTGGGCTGGGGTCACCCACTGCGTGGAGCATGGGGCAAGGTCTCCTCTGGGTGCTACCCTACCTGATATGTGGAGAGGTGCATACACCACTAGGTGACAGTGTGTGATAGAGGTGCTGAAACCGGTTGTGCTACTGGAGGCCGGCACTGACTTCCTCCAGGCCATGAAGGCGAGCACCAGACCAGTGTTTATTTCAAAGTCCTGTCTCTGACCTGGTCTCCAAATGGGCGGGCTGTGTCCCTCCACCATCTTCCCACAGCCAAGCTAAGCTTCCCATACTCCTCTATGGGACTGGCCACTTGCCCTCTGACTTGCTGATTCCCTGCCATGCCCTGCCTGCAGGCTGACTGCAGCAGATGTGCAGGCTCTGGGACACTGCTGACACTGCCAGGCCGGAGGCAGTGAGGGTCCCTGAGGGACTCTCAGGGACCCCATGGATTGTACTAGACACAAGGCCCACCTCAGGGCGGCGGAGGGGGCTGCGTGGGAGGTAGGTGTGCAGGGCTAGGGTAAAGAGCCGTGGGCGCAGGGGAAGCCAAGGCTGGCACTGGCCAGAGCCAGGTGCAATGGAGCACAAAGGGTGAGGTGGCCTCCTGGGAGGAGTGGCAGGCACTGTGCTGCAGGGAGGGACCAGCTCCTGCTGGGTTCTGCTCTTTGGTCACCTGTCCCCATATTTTGCATCTCCAAGCCAAGCACCAAAGAGCCACCTCCTTCAGAGAGAAGGTGACCTGCAGTTTTGTTATTCGTATTTCGTGACACTTCTTATTCTTGCAGGTGTCAGGTTTAGGACACAGGGTCCTCACCTGGCAGAGGGTTAGGATGCAGGGTCCTCACCTGGCAGCGAGGCAGGCATGTAAGGCATGTGGACTCAGTGGAGGGCCATGGAGCTGAGCTGAACCCTCCTGGTGGGCTGCAGGTCAGCAGTGCATGAGGACAAAAGGGCATGACTGCTCCACAGGGGGCAGACAGGTGGGCAGGGACACTGCTCCTCAGAGGTACGCCAGTAAATCACAAACCAAAGCAGACAGAGCATCCTCTGTCTGGAATGTAAGACTGGAATGTAACCTTCGTCATGCAAGACAGATGTAAGATTGGTGGTCACAGATAAAGAATGTCCACAGGATACCCAGGAAAGGAAATGGCCTGTGAGTCCCTCAGCTCACCACGCTGTCCCTGTGGCAGCTGCTTCCACTCTAGAAGGGAACACATTATTACCACTGTGGCTATAGCCAACCACACTACTACCGGTCAGCGCAGTGGGGCAGATGGCGTTCCTGCTCCCGGGGGGACAGTTTATTTGGGAGCCCTGATCTCAGGACTCTCCTACAGCACAGCAGGCCAAGCTGCTTCACAGGTGCCTCTGCAGATGGCAGGGCCAGGCACCCAGGGCAGGCGAGGGGTGGGGCTCCCCCCAATCACAGGTGTGTGTGGGGGACTGCAGTTGGACCCAGACAGTGGGGTAGGCCACAGCCACGGGGGCTCCCTGAGTGCGCAACAGGGAGCTCAAGCAAGGTGTGCGCTGTTTTCATGTGGGAAGTAAGACCCTGGCGAGGGCACGGGCAAGCCGTCACCCAGGCAGCTCACGGAAGTACATGTAAAAATGTGTGGCCTGCTGAAGAGGTCAGCGTCAGAGAGATAGTCACATGTCCAACATGTGGCAGCCGTCACTGCTTTCTAAAACTGGGGAAATGGCACACAAGGCCGGTGCGGGCAGGCAGTAACCTAGTTCTCCCAGCGTCAGTACCCGCCAGACTACCAGCAGGACAGAGTCTCTGACTGCTGCCGTGCAATGTGGCTCAACCTCACTTCCTGCAGCCCTGAGAAACTGAGGTAGCACCGGGGTCACCGAGACTAACGCAGGTGCCTCTCTGCATACCGCGCAGAGGCAGTGCGAATTTCTCAACTACTTCTATGGCTAACACTGCTAACGTGCTAGTGATGCTGCGCTGAGGAGTGGTCACGTGATGCCACTGTATGCACGGTCCTCCAGAGCACACCCCATGTGTGTGAAAGGACTCCCCAGTCCTTACAGGCCGGGCTCTGGGCAATGCTGCAGCCCACAGACACAGCACAGCCAGGGCTGGGCTGCATGCCCCAGCTGAGAGCTGGCACCACCTGGCAGCCTAGGGCCCTTGGCACCAGAGGCTGCAGGGGCCTTGTTGGCCACAGTGCCAGGCCAGTGGCCTTGGTGACCAGCAGTGGATGGTGACTTTGGGGAGCGCTCCTGCCCTGACACTGCTCTAGGGCTCTGGCTCCAGAGCACCCACACCAGCTTCCGTTTCTCTGAACAGGAGGCTACTGTCCCCAGCACTGCTGCTGTGGTGTTGGCGGGGAGGCTGCCCTTCTCTTCTGCTGCGAGCTGCACAGAGCTTGGGGACTGTGCGGGCAAAGGGGTAGCTGACAGTATGGCCCTTCCTGGTGACCAAGAAGGCTGTGTCCCTTGGCAAGGTCTCACTCCTCTGTGTGACAACAAGCTGTAAGCTGGCATGCCCTCTGCATCCATGATTCTTGAGAGGGTGCTCCACAGCGTGGCAGGCCTCTCTTGCACACTGTCCCACATGAGCCAGGTGGGTGCCACACCCAGTGTTCCCTGCAGCCCCCCCATGTGGCTTCCCACTCTAGCAAGAAGCTGCAGAGAGATGAGTGCCTCAGTCATCTCTGCTTTGAGCTCTGGAAAGAGTGGTGTCCTCTGACTTCTCCCTGGGAGCAGCCTGCAAGGATGCCCAAGTGCTCGCCTGCCCCGGCTCCTGGGCTGCACCACTGCATGGAGATGCGGGTTCTGCCCTCCCCGTTGGCTGCTGTCATCAGGTTTGCACCTCTCTGGACACAGCCAGTCAGGGACCTGTCTTTCTTGCCACCTCAAACCTTCTTCAAAGGCACATATATGCACTGCTCCTTTGGTTATGAATACTAGGTGAGCTCAGGCAGGTCTTTTCACAATGGCGCACCTGCGATGAATGCCAGGCTGCATGTCTGTGAAAGGCCCTGCCAAGTGATGCTGTTGCTGGCACAGCCACAGCACTGACCTGTCTTCCTCAGAGGGAAATCATCTTTGGCATCGTACATCCCCAGGACTGGGTGGTTGTAGGAGGCCGACACTCCAGTCTGGGGTGGAGAGCTCTGGTCCAAGGAGCTGTGCTGCGTCTTCCTGCATAAAACAAGGTGGGCATCAGTGTATCTCGGTGTCACCAGAGCCCCTGGGCAGTGCCTGAAACCCCAGCCCCATGGCCAGTCCTTGTCCCCAGAGCAAGCAGGAAGGTGCTGCTGGCCTCCCTGTCTGACGTGGCTGTGCCTGCTCTCCCATGCTTGCTCCTCAGAGGCCACCAGTGCTCTGCTCCCCACAAGGTCATGAGTGCCTGTCTTCAGGGTGTGGGGCGGAGGAAGACAGGTGGGCTAGCGACAAGAGATCCAAGGTGAATCCTGGAGGTGAGGAGTCCTACCAGAGATGGGTGGGGAGAGCCAGGAAGCCTGCCTGTCCGAAATGGAGTCTTCTGCCGAACACACCTGTCCAGAGCCCTTGGCAGCGCAACCCCCGGGCCTCTCCTGGAGGAGTGGCTGGGCAGCAGCCTGCCCTGGGAGGCAGTCTGTGCAGCATTCTTTCAGAGCTGCTGGTGCCACGCAAGTCCTCCCTCAAGTGGCGAGGGGGTGGAAAGAAAGAGGGAAGAGTCAGGCCTTGGGGGTCAGAGGGGACACAGAGGCCATCAGGAGGGCCGCCAGCAAAGCTTCACCGAGCTCTTGCTATCTGAGCCAGTTCTGTGGGTCTTTACACTGTGTAAACTGCTTAATGACTGGAAACAAATTTGCCAACATTCTTATTTGGAATTTGCTAAATTATTTATTTGAATATACAGCCCTCCACATCTGTACACCTGGAGTCAACTAAATCAAGAGCAGAAGCTCTTAAGCATACGCACGTGCATATTTAAATGTCTAAAAGTGCGTGGTGTAACTGCTGGAGATCCCAGAGATGATCTGGTGTGCAGCAGGAACTCGGGGCGCCCAGACACTGCCCCTCAGCCTATGCCCTGCCACCTCCTGCAGAACTCTGCTCTGCTCCCAAGAGCCCCCGAGGTTCGGGACCACAGCTGGGGCACAGCTGCACAGGCACCAAGTCTGCACGGGGGCAGTCTCTTCCTCAGAGTACCACTGAGATATCCTGGGCCCTGTACCTTCACTTCTGCTCCAGGAGGAGCTCAGAAACTGGACATGTTCCCCATGAATTAAAAGGTCTAACATATTTTCTCAGGCTCGATTGATCTGCAGCCTGCAAACGCACTCCAGAGGTGCACAGCCTGTCCGACACAGCCATCCACATCCTGAGCCAGACTGCGGCCCCTCGGGACCTACAGGGCATTTCTGGGCTCCAGAGACACAGAGCAGGAGCAGCTTCCTTGCCGGGCAAGTGAAGGCAGGTAGCAGCCACTGCTATAGGGGACACAACAACTGCCACTCAGTGTGGGTCAGCCTCCACACCACAACTGCACAGGAGGGCCACCCCACACCTAATCACACCTCCAAACCCACCATTCTCACACCTCTGCCATCCACGTCACACACCACACCCACACATACACACCCCTTGGGACACACAGGCTCACCCAGACAATGGCTATACCTTCATGCCCAAGGGCAGGCCTGGATGCCAGTTCCCTCTGCCTAATTCACCCCTGAGCAGGAATGGGCTCCATTTTCTCACTTTTAATTCCCAGCCTGGGGTGGGGACAAAGGAGTTGGGGCAGGCAGCTGTGGGTGGCACTGGCTTAGTCTGGTGCAGCTCACAGGGGAGCACTGGCTTAGTGTACCTGGGGCCCTGGGCTCCCCCACTGCTGTTACAATAAGTAAGTAAGGCAATCCTTGTCTTACTGGAGACAGAAAAATACTGTGGCTTCTTTCTGAAACATTACCTTGATTATACAACAAAACAGCAAACATTTAACTTCTTTTAATAATTGGTCTTTGAACATGTATCAGATTTAAATCACTAGTGACTAAAAATAAAATTCTTCATTAGTTTGACAAAAATATACTGTGAGCTACATGTGTAATTAAGAATCTTTTAGTAGCCACATTAAAATGAATCAAAAGAAATGGGTGAAATCAATTCAGTATTCTATTTAACCTGATAGGTAACAATATCATTCCAACCTGGACTCGTAACTCTTACTAGAGATATCCTTTTTCATGCTGCTGCCTAAACCCTGAGCAGGGCCTGCACACTTCCACTGGAGCATGTGGGCTGGCCACGTGGGACGCCCAGGCCCCGTGTGATGATGCAGCTTGGAAGCAGGGACACTGTGCACTCTCCTGTGTCTGAAGACCCCTGCAGCCTGGCTCACTCACTCTCAATCCCAGCCCCCAAGTGGTGCTGTAAGGAGGAGGCTCTCTGTGCCTGCCTCTGTCTGGGTGGGTGGCTTCAGACTGCAGTGGCCACAGGGTCACCCCTGCTGACTGGTGCACTGATAAATGCAATGGCCTGGCCTGTGCTCCTGGAAACAGGCTTGTGGGCTGTGGCCGAGAATATATCTGCAGGGCGGGGCAGGAGCCAGCCTAGGGGCTCACTTCCTTTTATCCGGGTATGCACCAGCAGGCACTGCTTGGCCACAGAGCAATGTCCCACCTTTGCAGGAACACCCACATCCTCCCATGTGGGTGTGGCTGCTGCACACCTGGCCAGCACTGCTAAAGCTCAGCCAGCCCAAGGAGGGAGGCTGCATTTCACTGTGGCTCCCGGTGCATCCGAGGGCCTATGGTGTCACACACCCCTCTCTGCCACCCACATATCTACCTTCCTTGCCAAGCACCTACTGATCCCATTGCCTGTGTTTGTGGTGGGCTGCTCATCATTTTCTTATTGTGTTGTAGGAGCTCTACAAGTGGACTATCAGATGCAGGCACAGAGACTGTCCTTCCAGTGTGTTCCTAGCCTTTTATTTTCTTTAAAGTATCTTTCAAAGAGAGCAATTTTCAGTTCTGATGAAGTGTGGCGTACAAGTTGGTGGTCTACAGTCAGCATTGCTGGTTGCCTCTGTTCACCTCTTGCGAGGTCGTCGAAGTGTCTCCATGTGTCTTCTAGGTGCTTTCCTGGCTTAGTGCTCACGCTCAGATCTCATTCGCTTTGACCTGTCAGGGCAGCACAGTACTAGGACCATGGCTCAGCTCATCCCTTACAGACCTGCCTCCTGACCACGTGGGCCACGGGCAGCATGTGTTGTGTGTCAACCACAACAAAACAGGCAACCCACCAAACTCAGTGAGCACAAGCCTGTCTCCTGCTGACACTCCTGAGGTCACATCTGTTTGCCTTCCTGAAACCCTCTGAAGGAGAGGGCAGGCCTCCCCAGTTGGTACACAGGAGACAGGGCCGACTTGGGTCCATTACCTCCCTGGGGGAACCTGGAGTCCTCCAGCTTCCTCTTCCTGCCCCCAGGCAGCTGGGCACACCCCAGCAGACGTCCAAGACCCCTTGCCAGGCCCACCCTCTCCACCCCCTGGCTGTGTCTTGCCCTCCCCACCAGCACCCACCCCTTTACACGGCACAGTCATCCTCCAGGGCCGTGAGGTCGGTGCCTCCTCAAGCCGCAGTCTTACTCTGCTCATGCAGATGCCACTCAGTGTGCCTCCTTGCAAGAGCTCCTGTTGCTCCTGCACTGATGACAGTTCCTGACAGCTGTGTGCTGCACTGGCCCCCAGATCTAGGAGCTCCTCTCCTTTTTCTCCCAAAGCCTCTCATTCCTGGACATCCACATCTTCCCTAGTGCTGAGACTCCCCTGGGCTCCACAGCCACCCCCTCTAGACTTCTGCCTTGGCTGCCCTTCTCTGACGCATCCTCCAGCAGCAGGCAGAGCCTGGCCAGCAGGGCAAGGCAGAGCCTCACAGAGCAGAGTCCCCACTGTAAGTCACAGCTCGGGTGAGGGGCTGAAGGCGCTGGCGTTTCTCAGGGCCCTCCCATTGGTACCACTGCTTTCCTCACTGGCACTTGTAGCTTCTCTGGGCCCACCCAGTCTCACACTTCTCTGCAAGGTTTTGTGTGCCAGGGGTGACATGAACAGCAAGAGCGTTCCATGGACATGCAGCGTGAGGCCTGGTGAGCAGTTCTGTTGTGAGAATAGTTCTCAGCATGCCAGGCACTGGCTAAGTCCACCCTCGGAAGCAGGCAGGCAGCTTCGGTGGGAGGTGGTGGTCTGCTAGTGCCACACGGTGTGCATTTCGAGGCTCTCAGCCTAGCTGATTTTCCCCCAGAAACCACTGATCATACTCTGACTTACGAGGATGACTAGTGCTGCTTTTCTCGTGACCAGATGACACTTGAGAGCTGCAGGGCACAGAACAATGTGCTCTGCGTGCCAACCGGAGGGTGCCACTCAACTGTCCCCCTGCCCTGTGGCCATGGCTCACTTCAGCTCTCACAAATCAGACTCTTCTGCAGTGTCTGCTCACCATGAAGGCCCTGATAAGACGTGGTACCAAAGTAATAAAGACCCAAGGTGCTTACTGACTTGCCCAGGAATCAGCAGAATACTGGGCAGGAGTTTGGTGGGTACAGATGGACCACGGAGGCCAGGCTGCCCATGGAAGTGGCTCCTCTACGGCCAAAGGGCAGGCAGCACCAGAGGCCCAGGGCAGTGGCCAGGCAGAGCAGGAGCAGCACTGGGTGACCTGATGCGCACCTCCCCTGTAGGGACGTGGGCTGCACGTGTTACAGCAGTCCTACAGCACTTCGGAGGTTTCCATTTGTGCCCTTCCCACCCTGCCTTACCAAGTGGGAACTCGGTCCACTCAGACCTGCCATGAAGCATGTGCCCTGCAGGGGCCGCTTGGCCCTGGCCACTTACCCATACCAGAAGCGGGGGTCACTGGAAATGCACTGGTTCAGGTTTCGGTGGGCCAGCGCCTTCTTCTTGTTGAGGACAAACTCCTGTAGTTTCATCTTCACCTCTGTGCTGGCCACAGCACCTGGTGAGCACGAGCAGAGGGGTGAGGTTCAGGGAGGCAGTGGGGAGCCACTGCATGGGGTGTGGTGGATGGCATGCTGTGCGGGGCACTTCAGGGACCACAAGCAGCCTGCACACGCGGGCTTCTTCCCCGGAGGCTGTACACCACATACTAATTAAGACGCCGACTGAACCACAGGAGGGATTTGCTGTCAGCTGACACCACCACTCCCGTAGGCACCTGGCACCTTCACAGGAAACACACGGTACCATCTGCACTGAGGCCTGGGAAAAAGACTCTGGGAGACCAGGTTCTACACAACACAGCATCCCCCACAGGCACGTGGAGGGACCACGCCACACCAGAGGAAGGCTGTCCACCAGTGCTGTGCGGCCGGCCCAGCAGTGCAGGCACCCGTCCTTCTTCCCTGGCCTGGCAGCACATGCATAAGAGTGGATGCAATAATGCACACTGTGATGGGAAGCAGCCACTGGCTTCAGGGCATCCTCGCAGTGGCAGTGACTGCTGTTGGAAGCACCATTAAAGAAAACTGGCAATCTGAGAAACAAGTAGAAAGACCCGAACTATCCAGGACCTGAGGCCCGCCAGTGGGTCAGCCTGCACTCCAGGGCTGCGCCAGGTCACGCAGCACGTCTGCACCAGCCCGCTACAAGGAGCACCTTAGTGTTTTTCCTGGGTCTTACAGTACCCGAAGAGCCCTCTTGAAGGTCCGTAAGACCTTGCGTGGTGAGGGAACACACTGTAATACAAATCTGTGCCCTGCTGGATGACCTCAGATGCTATCACAAGCCATCTTGCAATGGATACTTAGAAGCAGACAGCATTGCTCATGTTCAGAACTACCTGTGCAGCAGAGACGAACAAAACGGCTCTAGCTCATGAAGTGAAGCGACAGCTCTGGTCCAGCTCACTAAGCTGCTTTCTAAACCTGCTCTCCACTGCCCGACTTTCTTCCCATCCATGGCGCACAGGGGCAGCTGCTTGTTCCCCAGCACTTGGGTCCCCACTCAGCGTCAAGAGGCTGAGCCGCGTGGCTGGGCTGTCCCAGCCACTTCCACCCTGTGATGTGCTCTGTGTCCTGCTGACTTGCTCAGCAGTGCTTCTGTGCTGTGTGGGTGTAGCCAGGAGGTGGGGTTGGGGTTGTTCACAGGTTTCAACCACTTGAGCTGCACCCCGTTTTCTACAATAACACTTACTGAGTGCCCATGATAGTCTAGCACCACCACACTATGCCCTACACGAGAGACACATGACGGTTCTATCCCCAAATGCTGGGGGAATGAGCCAGGGCGTTCAGGTGAGGCCCAAGCTATGTCAGCAGAGGTCTGAGCAGGGCAAGCTGGCCTGCTCCAGACGGCTCTCTGTGTGTACAAATCGCCCTAGTCCCTGGTTTTCTTTTAAAATCTCGGTGTCCTGATGTCTGTATGCTTGTTTTCACGAAGTCCATCCTAGTTTTCCTTTGTGCCTTTCAGTGTTCCTTTGAAGCTTATCTTTACAAGGTTTCAATACTCACCTAGAGAGCTTGGGTGTGCTCAGTAGCACACCACTTGCCTTGCACGTACAAGGCCCTGGGCTCATTACCAGCCCAGCCAAAACCCACTGTGTAAGCTGGATTACAGAAATCATTTTCAGTCTGCCCTTCTTGTTCTAGGGTGTTCTTATTCATTCATTTGCTACTACTATCTTTTCCAAGTTTCACACTAATATACCTGAAATCAATCTGGCTGTTAAGAGGTTTATAGGTATTTTTAAAAACTGCATGTTATTAATAGCACTAGATAAACTATTTTCTTGGCTGCCTTTTATCACACATTCAAGGTACCCAGTGTTGGTCTAGTAATGCTGCCTTCTGAGGTCTGCACAGCACAGTCCTATGTTGGCTATGTAATGGGGAGGACGAGGCACCCTGGACCTTGGGAGGTCCTGGCTGCAGCAAGGCTTTCCTGCAGGTGCAGAGGGGTGTAGGAGGGATTGGGTAGCCCTGGGGCTCTGCTTCTGGGGTGCCTGTCACAAGACTGACATTACTTATCAGCACTGCAGCTTATTTCCATCTGCAGGTGGGCTCGCTGGGGGCCCACAATCCATAGGACATGCACTCTGTTGGAACATTCCAACAGTCATGGGAGCTCCACAGGCTCATTCGGAACCAACGCATGGTGACATAACCCTTGCAAAGGGTTGGCCCCATAGATTTACAAAGCAGCACAAACAAAGGAAATGCAGGCAGGGGAGCTGGCAGGCAAAAGCCACAGAACAGTGACAGGCAAAGGTGAATGCACGCTGGCCAGTTAGGAGCATACAATGAACTTAACTCCTACTGAAAGAAATGGAAAATGAAGCAAAGAGCTTCCTTTTCCTTTACACTAACAGGGATGGGCTTTCCTAGTGGAATGGCCCAGTGCTGCTGATGGTGCTGGGAGTGGTCAGGCTGCATGCTGGGGCAGTGGTGGTACCTTCAGGGGTGACAGCCCTTACAGTCAGTAGGGGTGACCCTTAGGCTTTGCTTAGCCCCTAGGCCTCTTGGTGAACCAGCCTTCCCTGGCTTCCCTCCTTAGAGAATGGCCCTCAAGGGGCAGTGCAGCCCTGCGCTGTGCCCATGTCCGTGGGGAGCAGCAACCTCGCCCCGCAGGGCCAGGGAGCCTCACACCCACAGCAGTCTGGGGTCCCATTGCAGACCAGCTGTGCCGCAGGGCAGCTGTATCTCTTCACTGCCTGGGAGACACCTCCTGAGGTATACCACAGCTCTGCAAGGCCCTGCCAGCTCGAATCAGTGGTGCTTCACGCTGCACTGCAGCAAGACGTGCAAATTACAGCCCAATCACCAACAGCTGAAGCACAGCTGGCCAGAAGACCAGCCGAGCAAGCCCGCGTGCTTGACCTGTGAGCACGACTAGAAATCTCGTTTTGTTCTTTCGGCTCCACTGAGTAAGAATGAAGAGAGGAAGACTTCGATCCCCACCCTGCTTCTGTCCAGATTTCTTTACAACTGGAAAGTCCCAGAATTAAAAATCATTCAAAAGTATACAGCAAATTTCTTAAACGTTCCTTTTTCTTTTTTTAAAAAAAACACTTATTTCCGGTTGCTTCTCATTCACCTACAGGACAGACTTACGTTCAGTGGTGAAGGACAGGGAGGCAGGGGTGAGTGAAGTGCTGTGGCTCAGCAGCGAGGGCAGAGGGGGAGGCAGTGGCAGCAAGCCTGGCAGGGGAGCAGGAGCAGGAACGGGGTGGGGGAGCAGGTGTGGAGGCTGTGCCCTAACAGTGGGCCTCAGAAGGCACTGGGTGGGCAGGTGTGGAGGCTGAGCCCTAACAGTGGGCCTCAGAAGGCACTGGGTGGGCAGGCCCCTGCACAGGCTGTGCAGGACCAGGACACAGAGGTCGGGCCTGGCTTCCTGAGACCAACACCTCCTGTGCCTCACCTGGCTGCGAGGAAGGCCCAGCTTTGCAAGTAGGACAAGAACCACTTTCCACAGCAGTTTGGCCTTCTAGGTGGACCTGCTGTTGCCTGTCTGCATCTCTGTTTCTGTGGCGCTATGGGCTGAAGCCGGGGCTTCAAGAGTGCCGGGCAAGCGTTCTCCTCTGAGCTACAGTCCAGGTTTAAACAGGAGGTGGGACTGTCCCGGGCAGCTAGCTGACCAGCCCTGAGGGCCAAGCTTGGGCACCCTGCCAGCAGCTGGCTCCCAAGAAGGCCTGCCTCGGCTCAGACAGGGCTGCTGACCTGGCAAGTGTGACCTGTGACAGGGAAGGAGAACAGTCACGAGCTATACGAATTCATTGTTGTGCCAAATGTCTAGTGTTTCACACCAAGAAGCACAACTGCAGAATCATCTAGAATCAAATGTTTACACATTTAGCAAAACTTTTAATGAAATATTTAGTAAGGAGCTCATTTAAAACAAAATCCCAAGAAACTAAATAGCAGATGCATTGCAGTTCAACTGCAAATCCTTAAAAATGGAAACGAGTTGTTAGCTTTGCCCTCAACGTGCCTTAAACCAGCATCAACCAGACCCCGCCATGAAGGAGGCACCCTGGACTCCAGCCTAAGGGCCCCCCAGGGGTATCCGGTGCCACAGCCTGCCAGCCTGCCTCTCACCGCAAGACCACGCTGAGGCTGCAGGGCCTGCCGAGCCTATGCAAGCCTGCCAAGTATCCAACTGTACACAGTTTATTATTACTAATAAAACCTGGCCACCCAAATCCACAGAGCGAAACCGCCAGGCCATGCCTGCAGTGGGGCTGCAGAGCAGCAGAGACCATTCCAGCACCCAGTTAAGGTTGGACAGGGCTTGATCCGGAGCACAGAAGTTGTTTACGACTGACTGGTAAACAGTCCCACAATGTCTGTCGAAGTCCAATCTTTTCATATTTTATGAGCCTTTGATGGTATTTTTCTGCCAGTTTCTGCTGAACCACGAAAAAGTACTGACAACTTCTGGTTGCTATGCAGCAATCAGAAAAACTGTCATTTGTTGGTTAGTTGTGACACAAAGAAGCCAGCTGATACTTCACATGGGAATGTCAGTCCTTGCTGGAACAGCCACAGCTTCTCCTGCTACAGGAGACAAGTGGGTCCACGCCGAGTTGTGAGGCATGTGTGGAGGTGAGGAGGGACACAGGTCCCAGCAGCAACCTCACCTCAGCAGCTGCATCCTGCGTGGCCTCCTGTGGGGACCATGTGCCACTGTGCAGGGAAACAGCCTGCTCCACCACATCAGCTGGTCGGGTGGCCACACAGCCAGGAAGGTGCTGGTTTCCCCACTCGGACTTTGGTTCTCAGCTGTGGCTCAGCCCGTGACAATCCCCAAAAAGCTTTAGACAGGACACTGCCCTGTGGGCTCTGAACATGACACGGGTTCATACCAGCCCTGTACAAAGGGCCTGACTGATACACAGAGCCCATGAGGTGCTGTCAGATCATTAGCCTGTACCCTGGAGTGCCACTGCTAGATGGGTCATCCTATCCAAGTGGTGTGACAGGTGTCATCTGGGCTTGCTAT